CCTGTTTATATAATTGTCCATAAAAGTCTTGGATAATTATCTTTTTCTCCTTATTACCATAACACATTTGACCTTGATCATCTATTAACTGTACTATTCTCCTAGATTCTTTCTCCTTTCTCAATTTGTATGCTAGCCATCTACCTGGTTTATTTGCATCTTCAAAATAGTTCTGTTTAGCACTTCTAATTTTTTGTGCCAACTCCTCTTTCTCCGCCTGACCCATCTTATGTTTAATTATATCCATTTTGAATTTAATATCTTTTTTCTGTGGCATATTCTGCAATTCTTTTTCCAGTTTTTTATAATCATCCTCTAAAGCTTTAATAGTTTGCCTCTTCCTAATATTCTTTTTCTTTGTATAGTCCATTATTAATCCTCTCGCATATGCCTTCATCCCAAACATTCTGCATTGAAGTATCTTCTTTTTTATTTTCAATGAAAAAGAAGGCCAATTCTTTGTCCATCCATTGTGTAAAGTCTTTTTCCTTTAAGATTTATTTAATGTCCATCTAGATCTTCTTCTTTGTCCTTTCCATTTAATTGTCATAGGGTTATGGTCTGCCCATATACCCGTTTCTATATTTATTTCTTGAATGTTAGATATTAGTTCTGATGAGGTCCAAATCATATCTATTCTGGACCATGATAAATGTCTATTTGAATAAAAAGTATATTGCTGCGTTTTACCATTTCTTTCTCTCCATATAGCTTTTAAATTTAATTCATCTACCATTTTAAAAAAGGATTTAGGGAGAGTCTTTCTATTTTGTTTTAATGCTGTCGCTGTATAGTCCAATTTATTATCTACAATTCCATTAAGATCTCCCATCATAATTATATTGACATGGTCCAGTCCAATTAATTTCATATGTAACTTTTTATAAAATTCTTCTTGTTTATCGTTCGGAGCATAAATTGCAACAAGTAATATTTTTATATTGTTATCCACTATTTCAACCATTAATACTCTTCCATCTTCATCAGTATAAACCAATTTTGCTACAATAGTTTCTTTAATATACAGGACCACTCCTCTTTTCTTACAATTAGTCAAGGAAGTAAAAATTTTCCCCAGTTTTGGTCTTACCAATAATCATTGATGTTGTTTTTTAATATGTACTTCTTGTAGGCAAATTATATCAAATTTTAACTTCTCTAATTTATGAAAGATTTTTCTTCTTTTAATAGCTGAGTTCAATCCATTTATATTCATAGAAATCAATTTTTTTTCCTCCATGGTTATGTTTTATATTTAGGTCTAACAGTTCTTGTGGATCTTACTTCACGTTGTTCTTTGGTCTCCATTTGTCCACCTACCGCACCTTCTTCTTTCCCCGGTCTCATCTGGTCTTCTTGAGGCTCAATTGCAAAGGTCTCTTTTTCTGTCTCTATTCCTCTTCTTCCAAAAAATTTGTTGTAGAATATTTCTGCTTTCTCAATTGAGTCGATTCTGTGTCTCTGTTCTTGCCATATAAACATTAATCCTTCTGGGATCAACCATCTATAATTCACGTCTTTTTCCAATAATTTTTTGGTCAAGAATCGATATTCTCTTCTCATCTCTCTCACTCTTCTGGGGACTTGTTTTAAAACCATAATCTCTTTACCTTTATATTTCAGCCCCTTATCTCTTGCGACTTGTAATATTTGTGTTTTAATAGTCTTTTTAGTAAATCTGACATGGATCTCCCTTGGTAGCTTATTCCTCATTGCATATCTTGTAAAAACACGATATATCTCATCTACTCCGTCCATCATCTTTTCCTCTGTTATCTCCAAAGCTCCAGCCAGAATTTCTATCATTACAGCCGCCAAATCCTGTCCTTTTTCTTCCTCAATATTTTGAAATCTGAGATAAAATTCTGACCTATCCATCTCCCACTTCAACATCCCAGTTATATCTTGTTGCACTGTTGTTAATTTGCTAACAATATTTCCAATTGTCTCATCTCTTTGTTTATCTTTCTCCTCAATTTTTTGGAGTCTCTCCTCCTGTTTTGCCATCATCTGTTGAAAGTTTTCAATTTTTTCATCAGTCTTTGCAATTCTTTGTTCAATACTCTCTGTTCTTAGGTCAATGCTTGTTTTGAGTTCTTGTATTCCTTGTATAATCGTCGCTAGATCCATTTGTACTTTATCTTGCTTCGCCATTATTGATAGTTGTCCTCCAGTTGATGGAGAAGCAGGAGCAGAAGTTGAACTGCCAGAAGGTAAAGTTTTCTTACTCATTTGAATAACTCAAGATCTTTAAGCTCCTTTAATCCAATCAATAGGGTAGCCAATTATAATCCAATTGGGAAGAAGAAAAACATTAAAAAAGCCAATAAAAAATAAAGAGTCCAGGATTAAAAAGAGAAGGAGAAAAAGAAGATTAAAAAGAAAAAAAAAAGGAGGAGATTCTTCAGGTTCTTCTAAACCTTAATCCTATTATAAGATGGCCAATTATGATTCAAAAATAAAAATTAAGAATAGTAAAAAAGAAAAAGAGAGTAAGACCCAATAATATTAAAAAGCAATGATCAAAAAAAAAAAAAAAGAAAAGGAAAAAGAAAGAATTCTTCAGGTTCTTCACACCCTAGTCCAATTGTAGGGTCTCAAAAAATAAAAAAAATAACCATAAAAATAAATAAAAAAAATGAAAATAGAAAATAGAAAAGGCAAAAATCCCAATAAGCAAAAAGAAAAAGAAAAGCTATTCTGAGGCTTTCCCTTTAAAAAAAAAGTAAGTTTAAAAATTAAAAATAAAGTCAAACAAAAGAAAAAGGAAATAGATATACAAATATTACAAAATACTGTGGGTTTGAGGAGGAGGGATGAAACAGCTAAAGAAAGATAAGAAAGAAAGCACACTGCATCTTATTTAGTTATCCAAGGCTCTTATTATGGCTTCTCCACAAATTCCAAAGCCAAACTTCAAGTACTCAATAATAGAAGTTCCAAAGAACACCTGTTAAAACATTATCCGGTGTTCTTCCCTCTATCTAATCAAGTTCCAGTGTCCTTGAGAAAGGATTCCTTCACAGCTCTTTGAACTTTCAATAAAGTATCTTCAAGCCTCTAGTTGGCAGTGTTACAAAGTTTCTTTAATCCACTCCCCCTTCTTTCCCAAAAAAGCCTAGTAAAAAGAGGGAAATATACATGTATATATATGTATTTAAAAAAAAAAATTACTAAAGGGAGCCTCTATTCTAAAAAAAAACTATTAACAGTCAAAAGGGGGGAAAAAGAAAGAAAAATTAGATGAATATAAAAGGAAAAACCAGTCTAGTTACAGTTACTAGATCACAATGGAAGTTCAATGAAAGCAAAAGTAAAAGTAAAAAGCCAAGCCTCAATTTGACATTCTCTTTAAGAAATCGCCGCTAAATCAGTTCCATCAGTTTTTGTCCAAAGTCTTACAGGATTCTTCTCACTTTAGAGTGTCCTTGAGTTCCCAAGAAAAAAAAAATTCTCACCAGCCGATGCACGTTCTCATTCAGCCTCTTCCTTCCGGAGCTGTCACAGCTTCAGCAGCCAAAAGGCTGCCTCTCCGCCGATGGTAAAAGGGCTTCTTCTGGATCAGCCAGGGACTTTGCGATGTCCCTGGGATCAGCAGAACGCGCCCCTTACTATCACCATCTCTACGGGACGGTTTAGGTCCATTAGGACCAACCAGGGGCGAAGATATCAGCTGCAATCTCAGAGCCCCAAGATTGCAGCTGTATCGCAGCAACATGGCTCCGCCTTCTCCGGGTATGTTGTTTTAATATGGGCCTCCCACTGGGCCATATGCTTAATATGTGGACTAAAGTACTTATCTCTTGCCCCCTTATACAAAAAGCAATCAAATAATATATGGGTGAGATCTTCTACCTCTTCAGCTCCAAATATACATTCATTGTATGGGATAGAATGGGATCTCCCAAATCTAACCATTGTATCAAACTGTTCAAATCTTGCTTAGGTAAATGTCTCCCTGAGGTCAATTGTGATTTTAAATAGTTGTCCATTCAGAAGGTGTGTTTATATTTGTGCTCAGCCATTTCAGGCTACTAGCCTTATTAGGTGTGGCTATGTTGTTTTGAGCTTCTATATCCATGATTCTTTGGGCAATTTTTTTTTCTTTGTTCTCTTGTTACACAGAGGGCAGGGAGACCACAGCTCTTTATATAATTTGCCAATTTAGTAATCCAGAGGGTTTCTGATTGCAATTTTATCTGCTCCAGCAGACATAGCTTAGGGAATCTATCTGCCTCCATTTTATTAATTTTGAGCCAGTAATTGTAAGCTCTGGTTTTAGACAGTCTGTGAATTGTATAGATTCCTAGTTCCACTCTGCTGCAGCAGATGTCTTAGGGTCTACACCCAAGATATGTGCTGAGACTGTGCTTGCTCTAAAGCTGTAATGGGGTGTAAACCCCAAATCTCAGCCCCGTATAGAAGCATAGGGATTACCTTAGCTTTGTATACTTCAATTAGTGGTACTAGGGAGCCTGGTGTTCTGTCCTAGGCCTCCCCAAAAAGCACTGAATCCTGGCAAAAACCTCTTTTATTACATTAATGTGAATTTATTTCATTCACAGTTAGCCAATGGCTTGGCAAACAGTGTTGCAAAGGTATACTAATTAGCTCAGGCCTTTATCAATCCTGGAACACTGCCCGGTAAAATTCCATTCTCAGTGCCGACAGGGAAGCACTGGGTTTACAGACAAATCTTCATGAGGCCAGAATGAACGAGCAAGTTGTTTCCTGCAAAAGCCTCCTCCCCTTTTGCTTCTCTTTTAATACTGATGGGAGGGGCCATTCATTGTCCTCCTGTGGCCTTACTCCCATTTTGACCCTGAGTTCCAAATCGTGCCTTCCTTTTGGCAGCTCTGTGCATGCACAGTTGGGAACCGGTTCCAGAAGTTCCCCTGCCTCACTGCTGTCCAAGCCCAAAGGCAGCTGATGACTGCCAGCCCTGGCCTCATCTCTGCCTCTGATGCAGAGCCCTCATCTGAGCCTTCCTCAGCCTCCAGGAATGGCTTGGGTTCCTCCCCAACCTTCTCACTACTGTCCGACTCTTTTGCCAGCTCCACCAGCCGCAACACCTGGGTAACTGTGATTCTTTAATTTAAATAATAGATTCAAGCAAGCTTTTGCTCAAAGTATGCTCTGTTGGTGGTTACAAGCCCAAGATCCAGTCCTGGAAAAAGTTATGCCTAAGTATATGAAGGTGCTAACCTGATCAATTGGTTCTCTGTCTAGTTGCCATCTATGTCTCTGGTTATGTTTACCAAACACCATAATTTTTTATTCGGATTTTCTAATAATTAGAGTTATCCTGACAGTAGTAGCTAAATCTCCTCAGTAGCCTATGCAATCCTACTTGTGAATAGAGTAATAGGATGATATTATCAGCATTGAGCAAGGTGTTACAATTTCTATTTAGGAACGTTGGCATGTGCATCATAGAATAGAATAGAATAGAATAGAATAGAATAGAATAGAATAGAAT